CTGTTACCTGTCTTTTGAAATCCAGCCTTCACTCAGTTTTCTAGTTGGTGTTACTAAGTTGTGATCATGTGTCTAAAAGCACAGACTCTGGGAGGAGATGGATAACACACGGGACCTTTCAGAGATGGTAGTCAGGTGAAGAGAAAATACTTGTGACTGTTGGTTAGTGCTAACTAATTGACAGCTTTTCCCACAGGCTGTTGTTGAACTGCTGTGTGCAAAATGAGCTCTTGACCTAGCCCAGCATAGCATCTACACTCCTTCCATGAAAAGCAGGTTCATGCTCAAAAACAGGAGTTGTTTGAAAGGACTTTGCATTAGTGGTCTTTGTGTTACACTTGATGTGCAAATTAAAATCAAAACAAATAGACTTCCCTTGTTTCTGTGCCAATAGGGAGGATTTGTTCTTTTTTTTTTTTTTTTTTTTTACTTAAAAATTCTTTATATTCAGCCCTGGTTCCAGTGGCTGATTAATCGTTCAGTGCAGAGATCAGGTCTCCCCGTGCAAGGTTATCTGTGTTGCATTTTGCATTCAGAATTTCTTTGTGTTCTGTGAAAGATTGTTTGTTGCTCTGCTGCTCAACATGCTAATAAACTGTGTGTTGTTAGGAACTATGCTAAAAAGTGCTAGTTCACTGGCTTTCATGCAGAATTCACATAGAAAAATCACCCAGAGTGCTCCAGTTTTCAGAGCTTTGCAAGAAAAAGGGATGCAGCTAAAGCAATATGCCACTCCAATATTGCTGGTTATTTTATTTATAAAATGGGTAATTACAATATCAATTTTAGTGTAAGGCATTTTCTGGGGAGGTTATAACTAGCTGGAGTTAATGATCCTTAGCTTTGTCCTACATTATCAACTCTCCCAGCTGGTCATTAATCCCTAGGCAGCCCTGTGCATGAAGCCTTGGTTTGTAAATCATGATCAGATCATACACTGTGCAAACGTTCATGACTCTTATTTCCAGCCATATCTTTCACTTTTAAAATATTGTCTATTTTTAATGTGCAGACCGGGTTTGAGCTTGTTTGTTTTTCTGAATCTATTGTATTTTCTTATTGTGTGTCTATAAATACGAGGGATAGACAATGTTTTCTTAGCCCCAAGTCACAGCATTGGATTATTATTTATTTTTATTTGCCCTTTTGGCAGTAGAAAACTAGTAGACAGTTCTTTCAACAGTGGTTATAACCACAAAACATAAGAGGCCAAACAGGCCACTACAGTGTGGATGCAGCATTGTTAAAATCTCAGTTATCCAGGCATCTTCTAAGGTTACTTTGCTTCTTCTGTTTCAACAGAATTTGACAGCTATTGCCATTTTGTAGGAGCAATTGTGTTTTTTCAGTCCTTCCCATGCTTTAGGGGAAACTGAGCCAAATTGCACTAATTTCTACAGGGATTTATCCTCAAGTCTGGATGTTAGTTTAATTCTGAATACAAGCTGTTATTTTGTGGTGCCTGCAGAGTTAGGGCATAGATTCTCTGTGATAACTTATACTTCATTAGGCTAGAAAAACAGATATTCAGAAACTCACACCTAAACTGGCAAGAACGGACTATTTTAAAAACATCTGATAAATTTCAGTTCCTACAGTGGTATCCTACACATTGAAGTAAATACTAGATTGAAGACAGAGATCTTCAATTTTTCATATTAGGTACTGGACGAGAATGTAGAATTCGGTAATCACGAAAAAATGTCTGTCATTAGTAGATTAAAATCATGGCCTTCAGATGGTTTATACCTCAAAAATTAAATTTCTGAAAGAATTAAAATTTCCTCTTTCATGATCTCTGTGGAGTACACAAGGAGCAGCTTAGCTTGTGAACCCATTCACAGAGGGCAAGTTTTGTCCCATCTAGCCCAAAGTAGTCCTATGAGCTCCTTTTCCCCTTGATAGAAAAGCAGAAAAATACTCCAGGATTTTTTTTTAATCTTATCCTAATGTGTGTCTAAAATAAAGAAGGTAAGCTGCTCTCTAGTGATGTTCCCATTAATGAGTGGCAGCCTAGACGGACAGTTTAGACTTGCTGCCTTTCTTTCTTAGGACAGGCAAGTTGTGTCTCACCCTAAATGTAAACATGTAACTAACTATAAGACCAGCTTAATGAAAGAGACTTCAGTGGCTACAAGCACTGCCAACCTCAAGCAGTTGAAAAATCAGGTCTCCAGAATTATGAACTTCATACGGTGAATAGTCTATTCAGTTTTTATTTTTAGGTTTTATGTTTCTGAGGTCGGGAAGGGATTTGAGGGGGTTGAAGTATGGGCTATGGATGTATTGCCTTTTCTTAAAAGTTGAAGACAGAAATTGTCTCCCAGAAGAGAGGGAACTGGAGGTACAGAAAGGTCCAAGAGTTGGGTTTGTTCAGAAAACCACAAAGCCATGCAGGAGTCATGATAAAGTGGTAAGGGCTGAAGGGTTCAGGCTTCCTCAGCACCGAGGTATGGAGAAACCAGTCCCATCGCTGTGATGGAAGACTGCTGGACATGACAGAAGAGCTTTTGTTGCTCCTGTTGGTTGTAAATAGAGTCTTAAAACCTACTTAAAATGCAGTGAAACCTGGAGCTGAATAAACAGAAGTCCAGTGTGGAGTAGGAGAGGAAATGGTGGGGAATATAGAATAATGTAAGTGTTTAACTAGCTGAAGGCCAGGCCTTTAAACAAATAACCACTTTACCCCAATTATAAAATCACTGAAAATATTTAGCATCAAAAACTCTTCAGCTTTGGAAGATGGTCTCCCACAGGAAGTGCTCATTGCCTAAATTTAGATCAAAGCTGGAACTATTTAGTACAAGACTAGAACACAGATTCTTGTGCTAAATTCTTCCATCCTCCTGCATCCTTCCCCCCCTTCTTCCTCCCATATGTAAAAATTAGCCATGTGCTTGTGTTACCTATTTTGCAGGTTTATTTAAAACTTCTTCTCCCTGAGGAATGTTGTATTTTTAAGTAATCAGTCACTGGAGTGTGCAGTTTCTCTGGAAACTGCAGTGGAGCAGCAGTGGGATGGCCTCTGCAAGGGGGGATCAGGGTGCTGGGAGGCAGCAGAGCCATTACATTTTCTCCTTTTACTTTTGGTGTGACTTTCTGAGCAGGAAATGCTTTGAAGTGCACCACTGTACTAAAAATAGCAGTCTTCTAGGTAGTGTGTTTAAACATATACTTCTGCAGAGAGCAGCAACTGACAGGAAGCCTTTCTCAAATGGCAGAGAATATTTCCAGCGCTGCCGTACCTTTTCCCCTTCCTTGGTGGGATGATAGTTATCAAGCTTTATTAGGCTGATTGCTATTCCAGTTACGGCAGCTGTAGGGGAGAGGATGAAAGAGAGACCTGCTGGGGACACTGAGCGGAGCGTTTGCTGCGGCACCAACCATAGTAGGGCTGTTGCTGTCAAGCACCACAAGTGCTCATGCTGTTCTCCACTGTTAAAAAGGGAGAGGAGTGGAGACAAAAGTCTTCAATTTGCTACAGATCTGTTTTATAGGCTGTCTGTCCCTCAGCAGTAGACCTGCCTTCTCAGGCTCTCCCTGATGGCCCAGTGGCTACTGTGGGGCTGTGTGGTGATACTTCACCCTGCACCTTCTGTGTACACTGCAGCTTGGGCAGTGAAAAAGCTCTCACTGTGCTTCTGGCTGCTGCCAGCACATGCCGGTGTAGTAGTCAGCAGACAGTCAGATGTGACAAGGACCAACTGACAGCTCTGGGGTGAAGGAGAGTTGGGTGTTGCCTTGCTAAACTAGTTTATTCTCTGATAAATCACTTGGGGTAGTGTGGAATAAAATCCTAATCTCCACAGGTGTACTCTCCTCTTTCTTAGGCAGAAGACAGTATAGACAGATGGTTTGACAGGGACTTAACAATGGCAAAAGTCTCTATCAGTGCTGCTCCAGAAATCATCTTAAGCATGTACATTTTTATCCTAAAGCTCAAAAACTGTTCTGGTGTTCCTTGTATACTTCATCAACCCTACTGTGCTCGTGCTTTATGTGGAAACCAGTGTCTTCCCAATATTAGCATATTTTCTTTACCCATGCCACTCATGTTCCAAAAACCTATTTCTGGTTTAGTAGTCCAGTAAGTTCATGAACATTGGTTTCTTCTTGAAATTCTATCTGAACCTTAGAATGGGGATTCCATTTTCAATTAGAGTTCTGTTTTCAAAAATTAGTGGAGTAGCTTGATAATATAACAGGATATTTCGCTAATTTTATGTTTCTTGCAGTTACCAGGGAGAAGAAGACCACACTGACTCCACTTTTAATTTCCTTTTCCCTTCTTTTTATAATCCTTTAATTTGTTGCCATTTTGGAGCAGGAATTTGGTTTTGTTTACCTGTTATAGTCAATGCTTTGCCCACGTTTCAGAGGTAGCAGATGAGCTAACTTGAGTTTTATGTAAGATGGGTATAGTTTCAAATTGTGTCCCCACCAAAAGCATTGTGATGTAAGTCCTTAGAATACAGGATCTCAGTGCAAGCTGTGGACATTGCCTATGGTGGGAAAGAGATTTCCAGAGATTTGAGCATCTTATGCAGTCCTTTACAATCCATGGAAGGTAGACTTTGATATAGCAACTTTTGTAAACCAAGCTCTATGTTGAGGTGCGGTTGCCTTTCTGTAGAGCTAACAAAATTCTGTAAGTGATTAATTTTAATCTGCCTTTCCC